CCCCCCCCTGCTGCTCACCCCTACCCAAATTCTGGAGGAGTACCCCCCTCTCCCCCCGGGCCAAAAGCCCTGACATTTAGAGGAAGATCCCAGCCTCGTTGTAAAAGCAAAAGTATATGATATTAAGTTAAACTCATTTCTTCCTGCTTGGCTGATATTCGTAGGTATAATTCGTTGGTGTAGTGAAGTAGAGAACATCCTTGATGATGGCCGACTGATGCTTCAACAGACTCGTGAACAGGACATCACATCACCTATAACTGTGCTTCTGGAAGGTAAGTCTTTGTCTTTTACATTCATGATGTATTGGTTTAACACTGTTTTTTCCCACTACTACGTGCTGATTGAGACAACAGTCGTGACAGGGAGATCGGGCACCAAATCGAAATATAACGAGCACCGAATCGAGATATAACGACTTATTTGAATAACTATTTTTCTGCACTGACTGGAGACTCACAAGTTGGTCGCCATATTTCGATTCTGTGTATGGATTACCGTCAATCAATTCGTTTATTGACACTAGAGTGTATTGTCTATTTACCAGTCGTGGCAATTGTCTCGATCAGAACAGTAGTACGCAAATTTGTACTGGCTTTATGGTATATCATTTTTTGTTTCATTTTTATCGCATTCTATTTTTCAAAAATTCCTCTTTTTTCGTGGTTTTGTTGCCTGTTAACAAGAACTACTGTACGGGAAAAGGGAGGGAGGAAGGGGCCATATCCTCAGTCTCCACCCCCTCAGTCTAAACTGCACTTTTAGTCTTCTATAGTTAGCTCCAATCTAGCACCCCTCCCCCACAGGTTTAAATAGTCCTCTGTGAGTATTAATGCTGTTTGTTGTTTACAGGTCCTGTTGCGTCAGGTAAAACAGCTCTGGCTGTGCAGATGGCTCTTGGTTCTGACTTCCCATTCATCAAGTTGTGTACCCCAGAGAATATGATTGGTTTTGTGGACAGCGCTAAATGTCAGGCCATTAAAAAGGCAAGTTATCCTATGTGTACCGTACCCGACTAAAAACCATATCTGTGGGTTAACCTCGCTGGGACCTCGAGTCCGCAAATTGGCCAATCACATGACGCGAGTCAGTACTCAATAACCAATCAAAAACCAGCATTCAGGGGGTGACTAGTCACCCCTTTTGCCACCCCAGATCCGTCCCTGAAATTACACTTGCACGATAACGGTGATGCTAACACTTGCAAATCAGCCAATCACATGATGCGGGTCAGTACTCAACACCTAATCAGAAAAACAGGATATCAGTCGTTGTTTTCCACAGTTATACTGAGTGAACCAGTGCTGCGTACTGCGACCGGTAATGAATTAATAATAATAAATAAAAATAATTAATATTAATCATGGTATTTGTTGTTCCTGGTTAGATATTTGATGATGCTGATAAGTCTAATCTCAGCTGTATCATAGTAGATGACATTGAAAGGCTACTAGGTATGTGACGTTAGAACCTTAAATTACTCTAGAATTCAAAACTCTGTCTCGAGCAATAACTTGGTGTATGAACACAAGCATGGGTGGTGTAGCGATGAGAGCGGTCGCCTCTCACCGACGCGAGCCAGGTTCGATCCTTGGACTTGTCGTATGTGCATGAGTAGAGTCGTTTGTTGGTTCTCTCCTGTGCTTCAAGGGTTTTCCTCCGGGTTCTCTGGTTTTCCTCCCGCAATAATCAACTTCTAAATTCTAATTCGATCTAGAAGGACCAAGATGAAAATTACTCTGCGTAATTTTAATCACCTTGCCAAATTGTGTAGTTCAGTTTTTATTTTATTTTTTTTTTTTTACACTAATATCAATTTTCAAACATTAATAATAAGCACATATCATATTGAGCTTAATGTACCACATAGTTAAATCTAACCCAAGCCTATTATATCCATTAACCTAACCATTACTTAACGAAGACATTTTAACCGAGCGTAATTAATAGTAGATGTATGGAGAATTTATTCTATGGTTCGTACACCAAGAAAGCTCCAGTTCTCATTGCTTACTCTTAATTTTGACGCGTCTGTCTTGAAATTCAACCAGATTGTTTTTTATGCATGTCTAGTAAATTATCGTAAGTAATGAAATAAGAACTGGGTATTGAAGTTAGATGGTCGTAGTATTTGAAGTTTTGTTTTCTGTTGACTAGACTACGTGAGCATTGGACCTCGATTCTCCAACACTGTTCTACAAGCACTTCTTGTGTTGCTAAAGAAAAAGCTCCGAAAGGTATCATATAGAAGACACATTAGCCTATCGATAATAGTTTACTACCCAGACGTCTGGGGTTGTTTTGGTCTTGTAGTTATGAAAATGCGTTAATAATGTTGTATTGGTTATTGCAGGGTAGAAGACTGATCATTATTGGCACTACTAGCTGCCGAGAGATATTGGAACCAATGGGCCTGATAGAAGCATTCAATACTGTTATCCATGTACCTAACCTAACCAGTAAACAACATGTACTGAATGTCCTCAAGGTAATACACTACAATACTTGACTATACTGTTATCCATGT